TTCATCAATATGTTTTTATATTCAAAAATAAGTTTTTGATTATTGGAACAACAGATCTCATTTTCCAGCAATTAAGAAAATGAGATTCAGTCAAGCACTTTTTATATAGGTTATAAAGAGTTAAAGTGAGTTCTGGAGATCACTTTTGCAAGAATATGACAGGAATGTTGTCTGGACCACAAGCAATAGAAGAGTTTGTTTGAGATCTCACCTTAGCAAAGGAAGCTGGAGTGATTTGAATATCTAATAATGGGTTAACCTTTTTAATTGGAATGGAAGGTTAAATATAGCAATAAGAGTCAAATTAGAAAAAAGTTCTTTTCAAATAGTTTTGATCCTTGAGAAAGGTAATAAGATAAGCCCCATGAGTTAGAGATGGAATGTTAGACCTACTTTTGTTAATGACAAAGTTTTTCCAAAATTTCAAAAGCCTCTACAGTCTCTTGGAAAAACTTTGTCAAAGTTTTTCCAAAAGTCTCTACAGTCTAACTTCTGAAAAAAGATACGAGATTTAGTGAACTGAGACTAATGCAGCTTAGCACCAGACATCACCTTTTTTTCTTTGATTCGACTTTACAAATAAGAGATTTGTAAAGGTAGAGAATGGAATCAAGAGTAAGAAAATGGCGAGCACGATAAAGAGAAGCAATTTTAGCAAATGCTAATTTAGCAATTGATTGTATATATGGTTCCCATGAAAAGTCAGTAGTTAACGATAATCCAAGAAGACAAAGAGAAGAGGATGCAGTGAAAAGGTTGCCATTTTGTAATATATGTTGACAGTATTGTAATAGTTATTTGCAATAAATAACTGAGTTTTTTTGAAGTTAAAATTTACAAGCCACTGGAAGCCCCAATCTGTTACAGAAGTGAGATCAGACTCATGATCGGCTGTCTGTTCTAAACAATCGAAAAAAGAAGAACTTTTGTCAAGACAGGAGTATAAAGTTGAGTCATCAGCAAAAGAACTACTATAGATGTAAATTTGTCAGGAAGATCATCAATGTAGATAAAGTTACTGGAAATGAAGAAGAGTGTTAGCCTTTGAGGTTGACTTTAATAAAGCCGTTAGAAAGAAACAATTTGTTAATCTCAAGAACTTTGCCAGATACATCATATGAGGCAAGCTTATAAGAAAGACCAACAAACTTTGTTAAAAGCTTTAGATGTCAAGAACAATAACCCTATCCTCTCTGCTCCCATCAAATGTTCAAAAAAATCTTTCAGTCACAACAGTTAGCAGTAGCAAGAAAAACGAAAACCAAATTGATTATCTGACAGTAAGTTATTTGACTCAAGATGGGATGTGAGAAATTTGTTGATCAAGACTCAAAGACCTTGCTAATAACAGAAAGAAGACTGATTGGACGATAATTGGAGGGGTCAGAATGTTTTCCGGAGTTTATGCAAATAGTTTTGTCTTATCCTTGGGAGAGGTAATAAGATCAGTCACATGAAGGAGAGATAAAATGTTAGACCTAACCTTGTTAATGTTGTTGAAGATTTTCCAAAAGTCTCTAGAGTCTAATTTCTGAGATAAGATTGAGTGAACTAATAATAATGGAGCTTAGCATCAGACAGCTCTTTACATCGATTTCTTGCAATAATAAATAGCTGTTTGCTGCACAAGAAGGTGAAAACCATGGGGTAGAAATGGACTTAACTTGGAACTGTCGAGAAGGAATGAAAGCTTCCATTACTGCCTGAATCCAGGAGGTTATGTTATCAGCACATTTGTTAGTGAAGAGAAAAAAGGCATAAGCCTTAGCACCGTCATAAAAATAATCGCAAAAAGAACCCACATAGCAGAGAGATATCATACCATAACAGAGAAAAAAGATATCATCCCATGGACTGTCTTGAAGAAAGTTGCTAAAAAATCTTTGTCAGCTTTTGGGTAATAGTAAGAAGTGTGATGATTTGAAAAAGAATAGGTGAGTTCGAAAAAGATGTACAAGATGAAAGATTTATAGAGGTTATAAATTTATTATTGTTGCATGGTCAGAATTACATAAAGGAGAAAAAGGAGAAACTGAACAAGCTATGGTCAAAGACAAGACATAAATCAAGGAGTGAAGGTAAATGATTAGGGTTGTCAGGAAAATGGGTCACAAAGTTAATCATCCGAGTAAGAGATTGAGAAATGCAAAAGTTATATATGCTGGCTTTAGTGCCAGCAGAGTTAGTGGCGTTAGAGCCAAACCATTCAGAGTGATGAACATTAAAGTCACCAATAACAACAATATTGACAGAGGGGCAAAGAAATAGGACATTTGTCAGTTTGATTAAAAATTACATCTAAAAGAGTAGTCTGAAAGCAAGAGAACAATAAAGAATAAAGAGAAAGGTGATAGAGAGAAGAAGTGCTACGCCGAAGCACACAAATAAATAGTCAAAGGATTTAAATCTGATTTCATGACAAATGGCGAAATCATACATATGTATACCCTCAAGCCAAGCATGTGACTAATGGAGGTTTTGTAAATCAAATGATAGCACC